TCGTGTAATTAATACAGTAATATAGAGAAATTAAAGGATGTGAATATTAGATACTAGAGCATTTTTTTCGTTTTTTTTCAGCATCTTTTCTGTATATGTTATTTCATTTATTCCATGTGCTATTTAGGTATTGTGTAATCAAATGTTTTTTGATATTAAAATATATAATAATAAATCTTATTAGTTACAGAATCATTACATAAATTTTATCAAATGGCTTCGCGTTTATTTTTTACGATTTTCCAAAGGTGCATATAATAATACTTTAATATAATTTTGTCTTTAATAATTTATTTAATGAATTAAATGTTTCTAAAGTTACGAAAAGATTAACGTATTTTGCAACACAAACTTTTATACGTACCAATGAGTTTTCTGGTTACATATAATAATAATTAATTGATTGATTGATGTTAACAGCACTAGTCTAATTTATCCTATACACAAATTTGGTTGCAGAAATAAATTAATTCTAGTAAAAATGATTCGACACTTTTGAGAACACGTACGGAGAACTTTAAACGTTTGAGATTAATGTTTAATGCATCAATCTCGAAAGATTTCAAATCCATAGAAAAAGTTGCTCTTATACGTAATTTATTGCATTGAATTTGAATTTAGAATACCTAATTCTATCTTTAGATTATTACAAGATTATCTAATTAAAAGAAAAGATTCGTGTGAATCGACCTGTCTGCTCATTACAAAAAATCTTGTTTATTGCAAAAATAACTATTAGTATCATTGCTAACAAAACGATCCCCTAATGACCTATTTAGGTAGCATACTGTATACCGATACAGTATTATTTAATCCTCGTTTAGATTCCGATTCAAAACCCTAGTCCTATTTTTTTAATTAATTGATTAGCAGCATTACATATTAATAAACAATGTTGCATTGTGTAGTTTGGTATTTACCTTTTTAGTGATAACTCTTAAATTCGTACGTAAGCATCGAAGGACGCAGTTCAGGGGATTCATCGTTCCGGTGTGGGTCTCACACTAGGTTCGGTACGAGCTATGCCTTGTGTACCTCGTCGCTGACCGTGGGCGACCCCATTTATATTATGGAAAATGAATAACTTTGGAATAGCTGATTTCATATATCATATTATATAATTATATTATCTTGGAAGATACTAGATTAAGTTCTTTTTCTTTTTCTGTTTTAGGAGCAACGTCGAAAATTTTATAAAGAAGCTTGGACCGGAGAAAAGGAGAAAGTAAGTATAAATATATATGTACCTTATACTATCCAAATCGAAAAGCGCTTATCTTATTTACATTTTTTACTAATATAGCGACAAGCTATGGAACAGAACGTTAATATGATTCAAGAGAATATAAAATTTATATTAGGCAGATGTGTAAGTAAATATTATAATTCTAATTTCTGGTGTGTTTATTACTAATTGGGAAATATTATCTATATATGGGGGTGAGTCAATAGAAATCAAGCAAATTTTTTCTAATAAAATTTTTTTATAACTTTAAACAAGAATAATTTGACAAAAACTTAACCAAATTTAATAAAAATTTTTTTAAATAATTTTTACAAACTTGTAGAATTAGTTTAAAAAAATTTTATTAAATTTGATTAAGTTTTTGTTAAGTTATTCTTGTTTAAAATTTTAAAAAAACTTATTAAAAAATATTTGCTTGGTTTCTATTGACTCAACCCCATATAGAGAATTAAGCTAGAAAATGGTTGCTCGGAAGCTACTATGGTTGCATATACCGAAATTGTTCATCATTTGGAACGCTTAGATCCAGCAATAATTAAACCAGAAGTTCCTATAGCTTCTGGTATTATTGATCTCTCCGGAGATGAAGACCCATTTGTAAACTTATTATCGTCTAGGTCTAAGCAGATTTTGATGTATCATGAGTTCGCAATAATGAATTTCCGGGAGAAATTAAATTCATGGTGAACGATTTCGTAGACACGTATAAAGATCTGAGACCTTATTTTGATCCTGTGTTAATGCCTTTCCACGGGGAGAAATGTCTGTTGAATCCAGACGTATAGTGATGACGGTTTTTGATTTGTTAGAAGGATTGTAAGTTATTTGTGTTAAATTATGGTATATTTATATAATATTATATTATAATTAAGAGTATTTCTAATTCCAGGCGTCATATTCGAGTGACGCCAAGGGAAAATGGGATATTGGTTTATCATTGATTATTTATTTAAATAATTAATGATAAACCAACGTCCCATTTTCCTTTGGCGTCACTCATTTGGAGTCAGAGACCATTATTAATGTAAGATGAATACAGCGAGAACTCATATGTAATTCATGCTGTATCAAAGATTTTAGACCCAATCTTCACATATTCGAAGTGGTCCCTTAAACGTGCATGGTAATGTATATAATTATTTTTATAATCATGATCATTATAAATATGTAATACCTATTCCAGTTTGCTAAATACTATATATAAATTTTAACACATATAGGTCTGAGCAGATGAACGAGTCATCACAATCTAGGATGGAACGAATGGAGGCTACGAATTCGGGAAAAAAGCCAGATCTACAAGTTTTGTTAAGCTTGACACGATGTACTTGCTGAGGTTTCACGATTACTACCTCAACAAGATAAGGAGATTATCGACTGGAAGAAATTGGTACGTATTTGCAAAGATTGTTTTGATGTACGATATAACTTTTTTTTGATGGGAGGGATGACATTACCGATCGATATATGTCAAGTTGGGGAAAGTTCCTGTCTTAGGTATCCAAGTAATAAGATCGTGTTTTTGTTTCTGCGTTAGACCTATTTGAAGATGACTCTCGTCAGATAGTTGAAGAATTTTTAAAGAACGCTCTTAAATTGAGGTTCGTGGTGGAAAAAATTATTGTGATGTATGTTGATGTGAAGGACGAAATTAGTTTCTTGCCCGTAACTGAGGATCGAACCCCATCAACATCAATGATGTCGACAACATATTCTCCACCAAAAAAAATTCTTGAATAAAAAAACGAAAAAAATGCTCTAGTATCTAATATTCACATCCTTTAATTTCTCTATATTACTGTATTAATTACACGA